TTTGCGTTTAATTTAGAGAAGAAAACTCTTACGGCGTGAAAGATAAAGCCGATTGATTCTTCACCACCCTTTTCCTCTTCTTCTTTTTTTTTTCTGTTTAATTTTCACCGGGAAAATAGGGGAAAAGACAACAAGCAAAGCAACTAGATTTGTTAATTAGGATAGAATCTTATTGAATCTCTTATATAGAGGGATTAAAAGCTTGTCCAAAAGGAATTCAAAACTTATAATGTAGGTCTGACCTATTTAGGGCCTGACCGGTTCTCCCGCCATCACCCGTAAACGCAGCTTTTGCGGTTGGTAGCGGTTGTTGCCATTTTGCAACAATCACAGAAAATGCTATAAACCGTTTCAAATCGCTCTGAATCTCTAAAATTCAAAAGTTGATTTCAGCTAGCGTTTGCGGTTGCGGGCGATTGCGGGAGGATAAAAAATATTTTTTTTCTAAAAAACTATATAAATATAAAAAAAAATATTCAATTAAAATTTTAAATTAAAATAATTAAAATACTGAAATATTTATATTATAAAATTTCTAAAAAGCTATTTTCTTTAATTTTTAAAAATTTAGTAGTGCAGTTTTTTCAATAAAAATTTTATATTTATCATGAAAATATGATTTTAATATTTTGATAATTATATAAAATATAAATATTGTTAATTTGTTACTTAACCGCTGTTGTATTTGATGATAAACCAGTCATAAGTGTCCCGCAAACGCAACAATTTTTAACCGTTGAACCAGTCGTACAAATCTCTTACTAACGCTTAAAACTGCAATCTCCCGCATCCGCAAACGCCCGCAACCGCAACCGCAATCGCTGCGTTATAACCAGTCAGACCCTTAATAAAATTACTAGACCTCAACCCGCCGATCAGACGGATATTTTTTTATATTTTCTTATTTATATTAAATGACATATTTATAATATTTAAATTTAAATTTAGATTGAAAATTAATCTTTATAGTTATAATAATTCAAATTAAAAGTTTAATAAAATATTCTGATATAAATTTTTAATTTCTTAATTTAAATAATATGAAGGTGGATCATAATTGTTTCTAATTCCAAAATTTTAGCATCCCTTAAAAATAAAAATAAAATATAAATATATAAACACATTTAAAACTAGAACTTCAATTAAAGAAATTTCTTAGAGAAAAATCACATATTAGCTATTACTAATAAATATTAAAATATTTAGTATTCTAATACCAAATATATTATGAAATTTATTTTGGTTAAGGTTTGATTAAGGAAATCTATTATTTAAATTATGAGAGGATATTAAATAATTAAATCTATTATTTAATTTATAAAAATACAAACATACTTAAATATAGATTCAATAAATATGTTAATGGTATTTTAATGTAAATAGCGGTAAAATTAAAAATTATTTCTAATTTGTATTTTTTTAATAATATAGATTGTTAAATCACTCGCAGTTGATGGGCTTCTTTAGCTTAAAAAAAGACCGTGAGTTCCCCAAGAGGCCTATTGATTACATTGTGCATCTCATGCATACCTAATGAATATTATATGCACCAAGGGGCACAAGTATTGTTAGGAAAATGATCCGACAAACAAGATTGGTTTTTATCATCCAAAGATTTTATTTGAAAACAAATGAAATTAAACAAGACGAATGAATTGAGTCCCCATGCACCAACACGCAAGAGTATCTACGAGATAACTAGTTTAAAATTATTTAATCTGTATAGATACAAGAGAATAATCAAAAGAGAGGTGTCAGCATTTAAAAGAGTAGGGGTGGGATTGGTCGTGCGCAGCACGATTCAGTATATAGTGTGGTCATATGGGCCAACCAATGCAAGGTTGTACTAATTAGCTTTGTCATTTCTATTTCCTCTTTTCCCCCTAAATCACAAATCAAATATGAATGTAGAGACAAATCAAGAGAAGAGGATATAAACAAGGAATCATTATGGAATCCATATGTATCAAAACTATATATAGATTATGGTAAGAGTGGGACATACATGTATTTTTAATTATTTATAAATGCTTGAAAATATTCCCTCCAAGAAGGAGGGGGTGATGACGTGTAAGAGTACCGAATAAAAACAGAAGGGGCTTCCTCTGTTTACGCCCAAAATTTCCGCTTTACCTCTTCTCATTCTCAAACCACCATTGAACACATCAATCATTCAAACCTCTCTCTCTCGTCACCCTAAAAAAACTAATAATTTTAATTCTTTTCAAAATTAATTATCGTTAACGTTCTTTCATCCTCAAGATAAAAAAAAAAACAAGGTATTCTTTCTCGAATCCATGCTTCAATTGGCTACTTCCATTGCGTTTTCTTGATCAGACATTCTTCTTATGTATATAGTGCCCGCATTTTGAATGGCGTGAGAAAAACTGCGTTATTATAACAAGTTATGTATCAAGCTACGTCTACCAAAAACGTAGAATCTTCTTCTTCTTCTTCGCAGCCTCCTCAACAACAAAACCAGCAACAAAATGCTCATGAACAAGAACAGGAGCAACATGTTCGTCTCTCTCTTTTCTCATTTTCAATATTCATTTCCTGAGAAATGATCAACATCTCTTGTTTCTTCCAATCATAGGGTGACACGTGTAGTATTCCTCCCGCGCAGTCTGGAAACGCAGACTCTCGTTCCCGTGGCAGCAGCAACAACAACACGGTACTTTACTCACTTTCTTACATTATTGTTTTATCCTAACACAATACCATACATTATCTCCTTCATGTTTGTCATTTCTTTTTTTAATGTAAAAGAAACACGAATTAAACTCTAGTATGTTGATTGCGTTTACGTTAGCTATCTCTGACTATTTTTAGCTAATTTTGTTACCTTTTGTAGGTTTTCAAGAGTGGAACTCTATCTATTTCCTCAAAAGGTATGTTTCACTAGCTTCTTAGCATATGAGATATTTCTTAGTTCTTGTAGTCTTTGTGTTTTGCAATACTATGATGAGACTTTGTTCTTTAGAGTCTCTTCTATTGTCTCTAAGGAGGTGCTGCGTTTCCAGCTAGTAAGGACATTATATCATGTCAAGTGGGTTATGCAGGCTCTGTTATATCTTATAAGTGTTTCTAATCTATTTCTCTTGCACTTTTAGACCTTTTCCCCATTTTTCTTGGGGATTCTTGATTACTAGTGTTTGGCTAAGTAACTATAGTGCAGATTCGTATTAAATTGGTTAATATAAGTCTCATAAGTTTTCTTTTAACACAGGTCTTGGGTGGACATCTTGGAAGAAAAGATGGTTTATCTTGACGCGCACTTCACTTGTTTTCTTTCGTAGTGACCCGGTAAGCTTTCATATATTCTGATGAAGAGTACTGCATCATGTTACATCCTTGTGTGTTTCATAGAGTAGTAGAGGAGGAGGGACTAAAAGGTGTTTTTGTTTTACAGAGCGCAGTTCAACAAAGAGGCGGTGAGGTCAATTTAACCCTTGGGGGAATTGATCTCAACAATTCAGGCAGGTTGGCTTACTGTCTCTGTAGCCTAAGTATCTGGTTCGGTGTTACTAACATCATATAACATAGGACTATTTGTTTTTAGTGTGGTTGTTAAGGCAGATAAGAAGCTCTTGACAGTTCTCTTCCCTGATGGCCGTGATGGACGTGCCTTTACACTTAAGGTTTTTTTTTCCTTCCCTTTTCTCTTTTGTTTATCTCTTTTAATCTTGTTATTATCATTATGTTTTATATTTTTTGCAGGCTGACACTATGGAGGATCTACAAGAGTGGAAAACTGCTCTAGAAAACGCTTTGACACAAGCACCTAGTGCTTCCCATGTCATGGGTCAAAATGGTATCTTCAGGAATGATCATCCACCAGATGCCCCTGCAGCCGATGTTGATGAACAAAGTATGTTTGTCACTTTTATTTTTGTATGGTTTAGTAGTCCTTAATTCTCATCTATTAGCATGTAAAACATATGTTCCCTTCCTCTGGAATTCAAGTCTGGCCAGTTAGCATTGAGAGGCTCACAATAATGTGCACATTTTTTAGATAATATATGACATCCAAAGATTAGTTTCTCTTTCAATTCATTTAGACAGTTATTCATTTTCTTAAAAATCTATTTTACAGAAGAGGAGACACCAACAAATTTGACTGTCATTGGAAGACCAGTATTACTTGCTCTAGAAGAAGTTGATGGATCTCCATCTTTCTTGGAAAAGGCTCTTAGATTTGTTGAAGATCATGGTATTCCTTTCAGGCTTTCACCTTGAAATTTAATGGTTTCTTTTAGCCCATATTGAGCTTAAATAAATAAAATTTATATCATTGCAGGAACCAAGGTAGAAGGAATCTTGAGACAGGCTGCTGATGTTGATGATGTTAACCATCGGATTCGTGAATATGAGCAAGGTCTGAATCACTGCATATTCCTGCATTGTGAGTTTATATTAATATTGTTGTCACTTTGGCTCAGGGAAAAATGAGTTCACTCCCACGGAGGATGCTCACGTTATTGCTGATTGTCTTAAGGTACACGCCACTACAATTCAGCTGAGTTATCCTTTTGGCTCTTTAAATCTCTCTCTAATTGTATTCATAAATGCGCAGACTGTTCTAAGAGAGATGCCATCCTCTCCAGTGCCTGCATCTTGTTGCAACGCCCTTCTTGAAGCTTGCCGTAAGTTATTATAATTTACTTACACTCCAAACACGTTCACATATGTTATTATAACGTGTAACATTATTAGGTGACCGTGGCCATAGAGTCAATGCCATGCGTGAAGCCATTTCTGAATCATTCCCAGAACCAAATCGTCGCCTTCTGCAAAGGTATAGTCTCTTATCTCTTGGCTTATTACAATAGTTTTGAGATGAAACCTTAACTTTGTTACTTAGTGTGTTTGTGTGTGTGTTTTTTTTCCTCTTCGCAAGGATTCTGATGATGATGCTGGTTGTGGCCTCTAACAAAAACGTGAACCGGATGAACACAAATGCTGTTGCAGCTTGTATGGCACCTCTACTACTTCGACCTCTTCTCCATGGTGACTGTGAAATAGAAAATGATTTTGATGTCGGTGGTGATGGTTCTATGCAACTTCTGCAAGCAGCTGCTGCAGCTAATCATGCACAGGCTATAGTGATAACACTATTAGAAGAATATGACAGCATCTTTGGTGTAAGATTTTAATTAACTCTTAGTGTTTAATCCCCTCCTTTTGTCACATGATCATAATGATGCATAAATGGTATATGGCTGCAGGAAGGTTCCTTATCAGCTGGCTTGTACTCTGACTCAGAAGAGAGTGGTAGTGGAAGCGAGGAGGGATCAGAGTATGATGATGATGATGAAGAGTATGATGATGATGGTACACAGGGATCTGATGAATACACTGATGAGGAAGAGGACCTTGAAAATGAATCTGAAAGATCATACAGTGAGAGTGAAGCCTCTGTCGACCATCATCATGGAAATAACATTAGTCCTAATGAACTCAAAGCACGGTCCTCTATTAAGGTTCAGTAGTTAATCTTATTCTAGACTGATAGTTACAATTGCTCTTCACTCCATCTTTACTTGGCCATTGTGTTGTTCATATTGCAGAGAAGTGATACTTTAAGCTCTGAATCCAAATCGCCAAAAGGAAGTATGAAGCCTCAAATCACTAAGAAGCTTTCATCCCACTCTAACCGGTCTTCACTACCACGGCATGATGATTCAAAAAAGGATGAGAACATCCTTGTTAAAGGTTCAGATAACAAAGATGTAAAGGCTGTTGATGTCTCAAAAGGTGTGGATAAAAACTCATCAACATCAGATGTGGCTTCTGCTATGAAGGAACCGTCTACATTGTCCAATGCAGCAGGAGAAAGTAAAAGGAACTGGGGCCGTGCCCATGTAAGTTTCTTAATGTGGTTTTTTTCTTAGCTCTTAACGTTTAGTAATAGTTTGGTCTTATACGTACACAGGGGAAGAGAAACCTTTCCATGGAATCTATTGAATTCTCAGCTGAGTTGGAAGAGGACAAGTAAGTATCATCATCATCATCTATACAAGTGATTTCACATACTTTATTTGACAATGTTTATACACTATGCAGTGCTGATATTGAAAGACTTGAGACAACCAAATCAGAGCTAGAAAACAAAATTACAGAAGAGGTCATGATGAGTACCTTTGAGAGTATAACTCGTTTGCTATAAAGAACTGGTGATTTGTAACAAGCTTCATTTTTTTTTTACTAGAACAGGTTAAAAGCAATGCAGTACTACATGCTAGTTTGGAGAGACGAAAGAAGGCTTTGTATGTGAGGCGTGAAGCTCTAGAGAAAGATGTAAAGCTTTAAAACAAAACCATTATCCACAGCTATATGAAGTTTTGTCTTATTTAGTGTGTTACAAATGTTGTTATCTTCCTTTTAGGTGGAAAGACTACAAGAACAGTTGCAGCAAGAGAAAGACAAGAAAGCAGCTTTGGAGTCAGGACTGAACATGTCAAAAGGGAATAGACCTATTCCAGAAACAACTGATGTAAAGGTTACTCTTCTTCTTGTTGTTGTATAGCTACTTGTTTTGGTAAGAAAGTACATATCTAACTTGAGAGACATTTATATATATATATTTCTTTAATAGTTGAACAAAGATCTGCAAGAAGTAGCTCAAGCAGAGGATGATATTAACAACTTGGAGCACAAGGTTGATGATCTTGAAAATAGACTTGGTCAACAAGACATGAAAGCATCTGGTTCAACGCATGGTGGCAAGAAAGAATCTCGGAGAAGTCCAGAGCATAATGTAAAAATGTAAGTCCATATCGCAACCTATGCTTCTTTGAATCATATCAAAGCTCTAAGTACTAATCTTGTTTCAACCTTGTCACACACACAGGAAGGAGAAACAAAAGGATACAGAAGCCGCCACTACTCAAACAACCCTCAAGGTATATATATATATATGTTACTTGGCTATCAAGTCTTGCTCTGTATTTTATGCCCTAACATTCTGCAGGAAGGGCAGGGGGATGCAAGAGGAAATGAGATAGAGAAGCAACAAGATCCACGTGGCAAAAGCTCGCAAAAGGTTGCGGCCACGTCTAAGAGATCTGGCTCAAAGGGAGAGGTAAGTTTCATACATATACCATTTTGTTTAATTCAAAAACATACTGAAGCTGAGAGTACAAACAGGGAAACACAACAACAACATCTGCACTTTCCAAATTGACAATGAGACTCAACTTCCTGAAGGAGAGACGGAGTCAGATAGCTAACGAGCTTTCAAACATGGACAAAGGAAAAACCTCAGGGCAACCTAGTCCATCTTCGGGTCCAAACCAAAGTTCACAGGAGACTGAAAGAGGAACAGGCTCAAACCAGAACCAGAACCAGGATTCAGACAGTAGTAAACTTAATAGCCC